CAAGGTCATACACTATTGTAAATGAAGAGGATTTAAGAAATGCTTTGAAAAGAATGAGACCTGATGTTGAAGCAAGAATTTTAGATTTGGGTTTGTATCAGTCAGGATTAGTAATTAGCAAAATTAATAATATTCATATCATGTATAATAAATATAGTCCGACTAGAGCTGGCAAATATATCGAACTTCCAGAATGGATTCAAAAGAAAGGGGCATGTATCAATATTAAAAATCAAGATGACAAGTGTTTTAAATATTCTATTGAATGTGGATATTGAAATATTTGTGATGAAGCACACCCCGAAAAGATGTTTCACTACAAGAAGATACAACGTGATTTGATTTTTGATGGTATGAGTTTTCCGGCTAATAATAGTGATATAGATACATTTGAAGAAACTAATAAATCAATATCCACTAATGTTTATGAAATGGATGATAATGAACAAATTGTTATTAGTAGAAAATTGAAAAATACAGATGCTTCTTGTCATTTTGATTTGTTGATAGTTGATGATGAGGATTGCAGTCATTATGTGTATCTAAAAAGTTTGAGCAGACTTATTAATAATCAAAAAAGTAATCATAATGGTAAGACCAATTTTTGTAAATATTGCAATCATGGATTTAGAAATGAAGAATTATCAAATAAACATTATGATAGTGGATGCATGGAAGTTGGAGGACAGATAGTAATGCCTAAGCCTTATGAGAAAGTGAGTTTAAGCATCACTTCAAAAAGTTAAGATGTCCTTTTGTTGTATATGCTGATTTTGAATGTTTAACTGAAGAAGTTGAAAAACCGACAGATAAAGATATTAAAGCGTATAACTATCAAGAACATAAACCATGTGGTTTTATGATTAATATGGTTAATGCTGTTGATAATACAAATTATGAGTTTATGTATCGTGGTAAAGATGCTGTTGATGTGTTTTGTCAAAAACTTAGTGAGATTAGGGCAGAAGTAAAAAATAAAATGAAAGAAAACAAAGACATAGACATGAGTGATGAAGACAAAGAAGATTTTTAAAATTCTAAAAAATGCTTTATTTGTGGGGATAAGTTTAGAATGAACTATAAGAATGCCAAGGAAGCGGAGAAATATACAAAAAGTTAGAGACCATTTCCATTTTACAGGTAAGTATAGAGGTTGTGCTCATAGCGTTTGCAATCTTCATTTTGGTAATAGATACTTCAAAATTCCTGTATTCTTTCATAACATGAAAAATTATGATGGTCATTTAATTATTCAAAATGCGGATAAGTTATGTAATGGGAAGAAAATAGATGTCATCGCGCAGAACAGCGGGAAGTTTATCAACATTGGATTTGAGAGTTTGAGTGTTAAAAGACACTTTTGGTTTTTTAACTGCTTCATTAGATAAGTTAGTTTCAATGAGCAAGTATGATAACACAGATGAAGAAGATAAAAGCAAATGGATATTGCGTGAAAACTGGAAAGATGATTTTAGGTTCAGTAGTAAAAATGATATGATTAAGAGTCAGAAATGCCTAGATTTGTTGACTGATAAAGGTGTTTATCCGTATGACTACATGAATTCATTTGATAAATTTGATGATGAGAAATTACCGAGTAAGGGCGATTTTTATAGCCAGTTGAGTGAAGAAGGTATAAGTGATAGCGACTATGAAAGGGCAAAAATTATATGGAAGCATTTCACCATTAAGAATATGGGTGAATACCATGATTCATATTTGAAAACTGACGTATTATTATTGACTGACATTTTTGAAATTTTAGAGATGTGTGTATGAAATATTATGGAGTGGACCCTGCTTATTACTATACATTGCCTAACTTTGCTTTTGATGCTATGCTTAAAATGACTGGTGTAGAGATTGATTTAATATATGACCAAGAAATGTATGAAATGATAGAAGCGGGACTTAGAGGAGGGATGTGTATGGTTTCTACTAAAAAGGTTGAAGCAAATAATAAATACATGGGAGAAGTTTATGATAAAAAGAAAGAAAGTAGTTATATTAGCTATTTGGATGCTAATAATTTGTATGGGCGAAGCATGATACAAAAACTGCCATATAAAAATTTAGAATGGGATGATACATTAACAGAAGAAGACCTCATTCATTATAAGAATAATCATATTGGATATATTCTAGAAGTGGATTTAGAATATCCTAAAGAATTACACGATTTACACAATGACTATCCAATGGCACCTGAGGTTATGAATGTTAAAGCCGACATGCTGTCAGACAAACAAATTGAAATTTATGATTTTTTTAAATCATAAAAAACCTACGGAGAAACCAAATAAATTAGTATTGAATGTAAATGATAAAGAAAATATGTAATCCATATAAGAACCTTACAATTTTATTGGAAGCAAGGGTTAAAACTTAAGAAAATTCATAGGACAGTTAAATTTGAGCAACAGGAAATATTAAAACCTTACATTGAATTTAACACCGAGAAACGAAAGAATGCTAGAAATGATTTTGAGAAAGATGTTTATAAATTGATGAACAATGCCATATTTGGAAAAACAGTGGAAGATAAAAGGAAACATTTAGATTTTGAGGTTGTTAGTGATGAAACTAGATATATGAAGTGTGTAAGAAATCCAAACTTCAAACATGGTCATATCATTAATGAAAATTTGGTTGGGGTTGAAAAGCAAAAAACAAAGTTGAAACTAGACAAACCGATATTTTTTGGGATGAGTATTTTAGATTTGAGTAAGCAACACATGTATAAGTTTTATTATGACGTTATGAAACCTAAATATGGAGATTATATCAAAATGGTATATACTGATACTGATAGTTTTGTATTTCATACTTAAACCGTTGACATTTATGAAGACCTGAATACAATTAAAAAAGACATATCTTTTTCAGATTATCCTAAGGAACATAAATGTTATGATGAGAATAACAAGAAAGTATTAGGTAAATTTAAGGATGCATTAAAAAGTAAAATAATAACAGGGTTTATAGCCCTTCGTCCTAAATGCTACGCTTACTCAGTTTATGGTGATGTTAAAAAATATAAGAAATGTAAGGGCATAGCAAAGAGCACAGTAAGACGTCAAATGAAATATGAAGAGTTTGAGACGGTTTTAAAAACTAGTGAGGTTATACATAAGTCATTTAATAGTATTAGAAGTAAACACCACAGAATTTTTAGTATAACAACTAATAAAATTGCTCTTAGTAGTTATGAAAACAAAACATATTGGATAGATAGTATAAACTCACTTGCTTACGGCCATTACAAAATAAATTCTTTGAAAACGACTTAAAGAAATATTGACTTAATATATTAAGATAGAAATGGTGGAAACCGAAATCAAAATTATATCAATAAGAAATGCTACGACTGTTGCCACTTCAAAAAAGAAAATATGGAGTTATACAAATTGAATTTACCTAATGGAATAGTTAATAATATTGTTGACTATGCTTTGGGTGAAGAAGATGTATGTAGACCTTGTCAGGAATGGAGAGATACTCAATATATAATCAGTTGTGTGCTGAGAATAAAAAGACGAAATAATAGAAATGTAGAAGATGAGATTTTATTATTTCTATGTGTTTATGAAATTCCGCCTTATGATTATGTTAAATAGTTCCTTAAAATCAGTAAGAAAAAGTATGAAATGATAGACCGCATATTAGTGAGATATATTAACATGTTTTTTAACATGATGTATGAAAGAAGCAAGATGTATCAATTATAAAGTTATCCTGAACTGAAATTATACTCATACTATAATAATACCATGTAACATATATTTTTGTTATGATTGTATTATACTTATCGTTTGTAAAGATTGAATTATTATATTTTCCTAATTTGCTTGCGTGCTTTGGCTGTTTGGTTTTGTGGACATATTAGGTGGAAATGTGTTTTAGTCATATTTCAAAGTCTGAGTGAAAAATGTGAACAACGAATAAGGTAAAACAAAATGAAGAACAACTGGAATTTCTGAGAACTGGAAAAAGACTTAAAATACAAAATGAATAAGGATAAACAAATAGTAAAATGAAATAGGTTAAGTAGTAAAAAAATAATGGATAAGGTGTGTATCTTTTCTAGGAATTACTTAGAATGAATAAGGTTGTGATTTATTAACCTTATCTATTATTTGATACTTATTTTTTCAATGTGTTTTTCATTGGTTGATAGAAACAATGTAGAAACTAATTTCAGTTCCTTCAATTCTCCTTTCTACATTTTTTTTTTTGGGGGGGTTAAGTAGCATGTGATGGGAGCCTTTCTACCCTGCCACAACCAATGGTGTGACCCCAGCTATGTACTCAGGATGGTCTCGAAGAGGAATCTAGAGAAAACTCATGTCTTTCTCGATTTTGGCTTGACAGCAGCTTTGCCCCTCACCACATTCAATTGAAATTTGTTCCGCGTGGGTACTACGCACAGATCGTTGTTAAGGGAAATGCCAATTCACCAGGATTTCCATTAGGGTCGGCCAGGGCTCTTAACACTTGCCTGAACCAGCAAACTGTTCAATCCTTTTAGTAGCAGATTTCGCCAAGGCCCACTCAACTAAAATCGATGCAAGGGTCACCCCACTAGCGGTCAAGACTTCAGGGACTTGTGAGCCGTGCCTAAGTTTTTGTTTCTCCGCAGATTGCAGATGGACCCATCCCGAATGTGCAGTTCCGACGTTGGTTTCCCTCAAAAAGACATCGGCGGACTTGAGAAGGTCCGTCACTTTGTGGCTTTGGCACCTGCGCTTGCGGTTCTAATCTTTTGAGCAAAAGAGGGTATCCAAGTTTGCATTGTCTTGCGGGTGCTCAGTAGGGAATGTGGGACTGAACCCAGGGGTTCCCTGCATGCCGTTTCGCATTCCCTGCATCTCTCGCAGCGATCGCAAGTTTTCTTGTAGGCACAGGACATGCCATCGAGTGTGAGCCTGGGTTTTCCCGCGAAAGCGTCCCTCCCAAAAAGAAGCTGCCTTGCATCGGATCTCAACCCCTTCTCGTGTGAGGCGAGTGAGTCGCCGCGCTGCTCGTGGCGCGCTGAGAAAAGGATGGACCGGTTGGTGAGGATCGCCTCCGTATGCGCAGGTGCTTGAAAATTGGCCATGAGCAGGTGGTGCTTGGTTCTTTCTTCGGGAAGGTTGGGATCGCCCGACGCCTGGCCGACGCATGCGACGATGGGTCGTGCCCGTGCCCCGATTTCGAAGACAGCTTGGCGACGTAGCTGCTGTTCGCCTCCCCAAGAAAGCGCAGTTTATCGTATGTCCGGCCAGACCGATGGCACAGCAGGAACGGATGGCCCTTTTACCAGTGCACAGGAGGTCTCAATCGCCGTTGCCTCCGACTTCGTTGGCGCTGCGCGTATCGACGCCCGCAAATCATGTTTGTCAGTGACTCACCAGACGACATGATCAAGCCCCCGAACGATTCGAAGGTCCAATATGTTCTCGAAATGCGTTGCTCGTTGCAGTTCCTTTGGCCGTGTTGCTTGCACTGATGCAAGCACATGTTTGCTTTGTCAAGGTTTGCTTTTGATTCCTTGGCATTCTTGCAACCAGCAGCTGTGCTCCAAGCGAGGAAGAGGGAGAATTCCATGACATTTGCATTCCTGCCCCCGTACAGCATGCCTGTTTGCGCGCGTGTCTTCTCCTACCCTTCTTGTGGGGATCTAAAGAAGAAAGCCCAAAGGGCACAGATCCGACATCCGCCAAGTCCCGAGTCGAGGGCGAGGAGGAGACTGGCAAGTCCTATCGACTCGGTGGCTTTCCGCGTTGCAAGGGTACATGGCATGAAGTCCAAGAAACATAGGTGTGGTTGTGGCAAAAGAATAGCTGGCGATTCCCGGCTCACCAGGTGGTTTACTCTGATAGGGAGATCCATCTATTTCCCCCAAAAGGACATGCCAAAAAGCCTCCGAGTTCCCAAGCCCGCGAGCTTGCCGTGCAGCGGTTTGGGGGGCTTGGGGGATCCCAAAGCACCAAGGTTTCGCAGAAGAGTTGGGAGGGCTTGAGGTGTGCCAACGTCCAACGAACCCAACCCTCAGGCCAAGCTGGCATTTCAATCATGTCGCATCGTGCACAAGACCTGCTGAACCCGGTTGGTCCGAAAAGTCTGCAGGCGAAAAGGCCATACCGAGCGTAGGATGTGGATAAGTAGAGCAGTCTCAGAGTCTCTGGTACATTTTGCCCGGGGATGTTAGGACTTCAACTTTTCGCCAACTGATGGGTTTTCCGTATTAAGCCACTCATTTGCAAGGCGTGCCTTCGGATCGTTGCGCTCACGGCCGATGCGTTCCCGTTTGTATTTGCACGAGCCCGCCGACTTGGCTACCTCGCAAAAGGTACATGACAAGGAGCCCGCTTACATCCAACTTGTTGGCAGCGCCACTTGCCCGCTCGGCGTCCTCCAGGTTCACGTTGGTAGTGTTGACGCGAGGACGTGGAGTTTTCGCGCCTGGTCTTTTGCCCAGCTAGCGTGGGCCCAGGGCTCCCAATGAAGTCTCTTCTGCGAGCTTCTCTTGCCGGCGGCTGGGCTTGGGCCAACCTTGGCGCATTCTTCTCTGAGTCAAATGCCGGCCGCATTTACCCAGCCGGCCGCAGTCGCCCGCTTGAGCGGCTCATGCCTGGGGCGCATCTGCGGGGACATAGCGCCCTTTGAGCTGAAATAGAGCTTGATAATTAAGGAGAGAACCCAAGCACACTTTCTAGCTTCAACTAGGAATTTGGAGTGGGCGTGGTGGTTTGCAACTGAGTATTTGCACAAGATGTCCTTTCGAAAAGAATCTCTTTACAAATCAGGCAATGTCGAAACACAGCTTATTCATACAGAGTTCAACTCAAAACTCCATTCAAAGTGCGAGAAAAAGAAACACACACACACACACACACACACACACACACACACACACACACACACACACACACACACACACACACACACACACACACACACACACACACACACACACACACACACACACACACACACACACACACACACACACAGACACACTCACACACACACACACACACACACACACACACACACACACACACACACACACACACACACACACACACACACACACACACACACACACACACACACACACACACACACAC